TTCTTAAACCTGCATCAATTTTACCATAAATTTTCTTGGGAAAACTTTAAATGCTCCTAAAGTAAAATAAATATTAAATCTTTACAAGTCTCTAAAATTTATATGCATTCCTTGTTTACGACAAATATTTATATCTTTTGCTAAAATTTAAAATTTATATATATTTTCTTTACAACAAAAAAAAAATTCCAAACAAAATATAATATTTCTAAGGATTTCAGAAGGTATATACAACTAAAGGACGAAGCAACCGAGATATACAGATAGAGGTAAAATAACAAAACAACTGTCATTACTTATTCTTTCACGTGTGAAAACCTACTTTATATGCAGTCACAAAAATATGCTACAAAAATTCTACAAACAAAATATAAAAATGAAATGAAAATAAACAAAATACAAAATACTTTGTATGTGTTAAGGGTATCTGTATGCAACATGAAATGTTTTAACACATACATTTAACGAAACACATATAGATGGTTGCATATTGTAGTATGTAGTTGTATTTAGAAATCAGATGTAACATTTTTTATGTTGTTGTTGCAGCTGTTGTTGTTAACAAAACACACTTGGCAGTGTGCTAGACTGCAGGTAACATGCACTCCAAAGTTTAAGGTAAGTATAAGTTAAAAGAGTTCTTTCTTTAGGAGATTTTTCTACGTATCAAAAAATGTTCATAAAGGAAAAGCTTAACTTCACAATCTTTGCTTAAAAAGCTTTTCATACTGAGCCAAATTTTTTTACAAAAAAAACTTCAAACGAAACAACTTTTTATGAAAAATCTGCTTAAAGCCAACGGTATATACATATATAATGATGCAATTTTTTATATAAGAACTAGTTTAAGAGAAAAAATCCATAAGAAATGCTGCTGAAAATGTGAATTTTATAAAGCTTTTAAGAATCCGCAACTTTTCTGTAAGAAAAGCTACTTTTCCATATGAAAGTTAGCATACTGCCAAACTAAGAAAAGCTGTTTAAACGATCCAAGAAAAGCTTTTCAAAATGATCCAAATTTTCGACCAGAAAAGCTGCTTATAAAAAGCTAACTTTCCATTAGAAAAGCTTCTCAAAATACATAAACTTTAATATTAATAAGTTGCTCATAATGAGCAATATTTTCTATTCAAAAAAGTGACCAAAATTAATTAGCTTTTCCATAAGAATAACTACTAATAACAAATCAATATTTCTCAAAAAAAAAAAAAAAAAAAAAAACTGCTCAAAATAAACCAACTTTTCTTTAAAAAGCTTTTCATTAAAGTTAGAATAGACTAGTTGGTAAACTAGTCAATAGACTATTTGATGGAATAGTTGATGGACCAGTCAATAGACTAGTTGATGGACTAGTTAATAGACTAGTTGATGGACTAGTTAGTAGACTAGTTGATGAACTAGTCAGCAGACTAGTTGATGGACTAATCAATAGACTAGTTGATGGACTAATCAATAGACTAGTTGATGAACTAGTCAATAGACTACTTGATGGAATATTCAATAGACTAGTTGATGGACTAGTCCATAGAGTAGTTGATGGACTAGTCAATAGACTAGTTGATGAATTATTCAATAGACTAGTTGATGGACTAGTCAATATACTAGCAGATGGGCGGACTATAGGCTAATCAATAGACTAGTGGATATACTGATTAATAGACTAGTCTATGAACTAGTCAATAGATTACTTGATGGACTAGTCGATGGTGTTCTCTGTAGGTTAATGGACCAATGGTGACCAAAATGAATCTGCTTTTCCACAAGAATAACTGCTAATAATAAATCAATATTTCTCTAAAGAAACCTGCTCAAAATGAGACAATTTTTCTTTAAAAAGCTTTCCATTAAAGTTAGCTCTTTTAAAGTAAAAGCTTTTTTATTTGTGTTTAAGAATAAATTCCTATAAAGAATGGACTTATGTAGAGATTTTTCTCCTATACTTTTCCTTCTCGATTTTTTTTTTTTGCTATTAACAAAAGTGATGCTCATGAGTGTGTTGTCAAGAGAGTGAGTGCAATGCAGTCATGTAGGAATAAATGCAGGTATATAAAATGTGTAAAAAGGTAGACAAACTTTTAAATGTAAACACTCAAACACACATGTAAATATGTAAGTGTACACATAAACGACCATAATATACACTGATGCCAAAGATATAGACTGAAAAATAGAATAGACAGCCAGACATTTAGACAGGAATACATATGTATGTGTATATATGTATTAGAGAAGTCCTTATAACTTATAATTTAAATATCCTTCTAAAATTTTGGAAAAGAATATATCGAGAAAATTTTAACTTATAAACTCTATATATGTAAGATTTTTTTCAAGTACATGAAATGTTCAAAAGTTTTGAAGCCCATTCAGAGAACTAATATAGATTAGTATTTGCCATAAGTACCATACTCAGTTAACCTTTTTTTCTTAAATTTCTTTCATTAAACACTGAACCATTCTAATGTTTTTGAAACATTGTTATTATATAGTTTATATTTTCCATATTTAGTTTTGAACATGTTTTAGAAGAAATCAAGGAAACTAGTATGCCATATGATTACCAGGCAACAGAGATTTTTGGAAGCCCTAGTAGCTATCTCAAATATGGTTTCGACATAATTATCTACTTTGGAATTAAATTCATCTATGTGTTAAGAAAGTATTTCGAGAAATTTTGCTCATAATGAGCCAACTGTTCTGTAGGTTAGGTTTCTTACAATCCAATACGGTCTTAGATTTAATTTTTAAGGGCTGTGGGCGCCTTATTTATTCTAATCCAATTTATACATTCCGTTATTTCTCGGACTTCTGCCAGGAAGCTTGTGTTTTGATTAGACAAACGGTGGTATATTTCTGTTTCTGGGTCTTCAATATAAAATCCCAGGTCCATTTTGTGCCCCAATTTAGAGCCTTCTGTGTAATAACGGATTCCTACTGGTATTTGCTTTAGTTTTCCGCTTGATCAAGACATTCAGTATCTGGGTTCAGCATTTCAAAGTTTCCGACATATTCTGTATCATGTATGCGATCAAGCACGTCCAATGATTGTATATAACCTTCCAATGTGTCCAGTATACATTGATGACGTGTCCTATAACCGCTTTTAGCCAGTTCTCCTAAAGTAAAGAGACTGTTACGTAAGAAAATCTATTTATATTTAAACAACTTTTCTTTAAGAAAATCTTCTCATAATTACTCAACTTTTCCGTAAATAAAGCTGACCAGAATAAGTTTTCTATAAGAAAATTTTCTCAACAAGAATCAACATTTCTATAAGAAAAGGGTCTCTTAAGGATCTATCTTTTCTACAAGAGAAGGCTAACAATGAGCCAACTTTTTATAAGAAAAGGAGTTTATAATGATCCAACTTTTCTATAAGTAAAGATGCTCATAATGAGCTAACATTTCTATAAGAAAAAGTGTTCATAATGAGCTAAATTTTTTATAAGACAAAGTGCTCATGAGAAGCTAACTTTTCCGAATGAAAAGGAGCTCATTATGATTCAACTTTTGTATAAAAAACGTGCACATAATGAGTTGACTTTTCTATTAGAAAAGAAGGAGATCATTATGAGCCAGCTTTTGTATATGAAAATGTGCTCATAATGAATCAACATTTCCATGAGGAATTGCGCTCATAAGGAGGTATCTTTTCCATAGGAAAAAGCATTCATAATGATTCAACTTCAAAAAATGGCTTATAATAAGCCAACTTTCGTATAATAAAAGGTGCTCATAATGAGCTGTCTTTTCTATAAGAAAAGAAGCTCATAATGAGCTAACTCTTCTACATGAAAATGTTCTCATATTTAGCTAAATTTTCTATAAGGAATTTCGCTCATAAGGAGTATCTTTTCCATAGGAAAAAGCGCTCATAATGATCCAACTTTTCTATAAGAAAAGGCGCTCATAATAAGCCAAATTTCGTATTATAAAAGGTACTTGTAATGAGCTAAATTTTCTATAAGAAAAGAAGCTTATAATAAGATAACTTTTATATAAAAGAATGTTCTCATAATGATCTAACTTTTATATTAGAAATGATACTCATACTGAGCTTACATTTCTATAAAAAAAACGTGCTCATGATGAGATAACTTTTTAATAAGGAAAGGTGCTCATATTGAGTTAAGTTTTCTATAAGAAAATGTCTCATAATTACATAACATTTTATAAGCAAAAGTGCTCATAAATAGCTTACTTTTCTATAAGAAAATGTTCTCATAATGAACCAACTTCTCCGTAAGAAAAGATTCTTCGATCAGTCGGAGGAACGTTGGTTCGGGGACTCTAGACTGTTTTATTTGATATTTTGAAGTTGTTGGCTACAGTAACCGAAAGTATTAAAAACAAAAGTATACTTTTATGCGATAAAAATTTTGAGAAATTACAAACGTTTGGACAAACTTATATAACCCTTCATCACAGGTAAATTTGAAAATTATAAACATAAATGTATAACAGAAAAATACTGTCTACTTGCATGTCTAGAATTTATTTACTTCGTTGTATATTTGTTTATATTAGAAAAAAATAGAAAAATATTTTAGAAAAAAGTAACATACAATAAATATGCTCATGTGTATATGAAAACACAAAATGACAACATACACATCAACGTCAGCTACAGCAACAGCAAAATATGGCTAAAAGATACATGACGATGATGATGATGATGCATCATGGATGAATAAAATTCTTTGGAGATGCACTTATACACCGAATACAACAACTTTGTATTCAAACAAAGGTTGCAAGAGAAGTTACAGCTTAAAAAATTGAAATTCAAATACAGTTTCATATTAAAGATTAAAAGTAGGAACATAATAACAGACCACTCTCGTTTCCTTAATAGTTATAAAGAAGCCTCATTGTATATAAAATTTAAACCAGGAAGTCTGTTGTAAAATCATATATAGTACTTCTTATACTATAACTTAAACTTAAATACTATAAAAAGAAAATAAGTAACAAGAAGGAAAACACTTGAAAAAACTTACCTCACATATTGATTGGCTTATATTCTGTAGATTTAAACGAAATATACGATCCCTGTAAAGAAATGGTAAAAAAGAATCATTAAATATATATTTTTTAATAAAGATTTTGAATAATTTATAAGTTTTTTTTCTAAAAATGTATAAAAATTAAATATGTAGTAGATTAAAAAAGTAGTAGGTAGGTATTTTAAGTAAACAAAAACTAAAACCTAACATCATTACTCGTTCTTAATTTTTCTTTATTTAGTTTCTACTTTCAAATTGTTTATTTTGTATAAAGAACAACTGAAAATTGGTAACCCCTTATTTGGAGTACAAAAGATATCGTGTCACACGCTATCTGGAGTTTTTTTATAGTCTTAAATTATACTACCACCATAAATAAATATGGAAATAATACAGTGGCAAACAGAAGAGTGGCAACTGACATTAATGTGGTTTTAATATGTTAACAATAAAAACCATTAATAAAAGGTTTCTGGGTTTTTGTCTTCCTACTACTACTACTACTGCTCTCCTTTGTTACTGAACTTGTGATTACAGGGATTTGAAAAAAAGTCTAGTGTCTAGTCTGAGACAAAAAAATATATTCAATCATTTTTTTTATAACATGTTGCCATATTTTGTTAGAAAACCATTTTTTATTTAAATGTTAAACTTTAACTTTTTGTATTAAACTTTAAGCTTAATGTATTTTTTTATTTTTTCTCTCTCAGCCAGGCTGTGTCACCATTGACAGTTTAAAGGTTTAACCTTAACACCTGCTGCCATCTATCTAATATTCTGCATTGATTGATGGATGAACGAGTGTTGTCATTGTTGAGCTGGTGTGTGTTTGTGTTGTCATTGTAAGATTATATGTTAGCAGAGAGACAGACAAATGAAGGAAAATCATTATATAGTAAATATTTTATATTCAAGGTAAATCAAGGAGGAAATTGTGGGCACATACACGAGTTGGGGATTTAGTATTTATTTAATGTATTTCACATCATATTTTGACAGTAAGGGGAGCAGAACAATAAGAACTTTAATTGTATTACCGTAGTTTAAATAAATATGAAAATTGGGGTTTAAAAGTCAGAAATGTTCAAGAGAGAGAGAAGACAATCCTTGCCGATTTTTAGGAAATTTTTATGTAATTCATAAACCTGTTATAGCTAAGAGCAACGGCATTTCCATAGAAATGTTTAACTGTCTTAATGGTCTAATCTCACGATGGCCTTTTTTATACAACAATTCGACATTCGTCCACTCGTTTCTGAATGACTTCAAAGAAGAACACTCAGGTGCTAATTGTTGGTCATGATTTAGCCATATACGAGCTTCTAATCGCATTGAAAAGTAAATTCGTTTCGGAATGACAGACATCATAATAAAAACCTAACAAATCTACAAGGCGAAGCCAATCACTAAGTTGAGTCAATAGAGGAGGATTCACTTAAACCTCAACGATCGCATTTGATAAGCTATTATGCCTATACCTAAGTGCACAAGTAGACCGCCATTGTAAACGACATCATGAGCGATATCGAAGCAACCCATCCAAAGAAAAAACTCAAGTATATTCCCCAGGTGAACATTTTTAACATAACTCATTCAGATCATGAACAAGCATTTTGATCAAGTACTCGAGCTATATTAACCATTAAAAGTAAAACCCTATGATATCCCAGTAAAAAGGAGACAATCGCTTAGTTTAGTCAATAGAGAGGGGTTCTCTTGAACACTACTGTACCCCCACCTAGCCGCAGAGGGTACCCACCTCATCCAGAAACTTAATCAAGTGCATACCAAAATCTTTACAAGATGGTCCTTTTGTTTCGACAACAGAACTTAGAAACATATTTGGTACAACGAAATACATATATACTAAGTAAATCAAAATCCCTTTTTTATGACGATGAACCCAATTATTGGCCCAAAAGAAAGAGATTATATCACAAAACAAGTAAAAAATTATAGTCGGGTGAGGCCGATCATATAATACCGTACACCTGTTACAAATATTAAAATGTGATTTAGTTTTCATAATAAAGCATTTATGTAGAATTGTACTTTGCCTCAGATATATTTAAGCCATTTACTGTTGAATAAAATTATGGACATTTAAGTCCAATTTTGAAGGGGGATTTGTATAGGGGTTATAGTCAAATTAGACTCTATAAATATAAAATTCATGAGGATCAGTAAGGCTAGTATAGAATTAGGTTTTACAGCTTTTTTCGAGATACGAGTATATTAAACATAATTATGAACCTAAAAGTCCTACACAGAGGGAAAAGGAAATATACACGCCTGGTATCAAATTGACACCAAAGAGTTTATAATTTTTCAATAACATTCGTTGTCAAAGTTGTCTAAATTTTAACAAAAGTGGTAAGCTCACTATTGGCAACGGATTGTTTGTCAATAGTGAGCTTACCATGTTTGTTAACATTTAGACAACGGATGTGTGCAACGGATTGTGTTTCAATAGTGAGCTTACCAAGTTTGTTAACATATAGACAGCGGATGTGTATAAAATTTAGATTTCGACAACGAATTGTTGCAATGTTGTCAACATTACATAGTGTTGTCGAACGTATGTGTATACTTTGACAACGGATGGTATTAAAAAATTATAAACAGTTTGGTGTCAATTTGGTACCAGGCATGTATATTTCTTTTTCCGTCTGTGTATTCGTCGGGTTCAGTTGTATGAAGGCTAGGTGAAGTAAAGGAGCGATGTTAACCATTTTCAATAGGCTTCGTCTCCGGTACCATAGAAGATAATGTGCCTGTAGTTTGATTACAAAGTTGACTAGCCCTATTCAGGGATTCAGTTGTATGGGGGCTAGGTGAAATAATGGAACGATCTTAAAAATTTCCAATATGTTTCGTCTCCGGTACCATAGAAGATATATGTTACAAACATCAGCACAAACTCAATATACCTCAATATCATGACTACTGTTGAGTACTTACACATTTATAGCCTCCAGCCAAGGAGATCTTAAATCAATATTCTATTATAAAGATCACATTCAATGAATTGCAAACAACTAGTATGTGTTTACCTAATAATTGGAAGAAGCACTCTACTAATACAAAGGGATGGGAGGGACATCTAACATGTTCTATATATTCCACAATACAAGTCATATAGCAACATCATCCCGTGCATCTTTTGAGATAGCAACTTAGATAGAAAGACTTATCCCGAAGCATTTGCATATATCGGTCCTTTTCCTATTAGTAATTTGGATATCAACTAACAGTATAGAATTGACTCTTCCAGTTTGAGATCTTGGCTAACCTTCTTTAGGTCAAAATAATCTTAACGTGTACTTATTTTCATAATTTTTGGTTTGATTTAAGCTCAAATGCAAACTTGATTTGAGATGAAATTGAATTAATCCCAAAATGTGCTTGATTTGAGCTCGATTCGTACTTGATTTGGGAATTTAGCAAAAGAGTTAATAAGAAGTTTTAAATTAAACACATAGACACCTTTTTAATATGGTGAAATCATTTGACATCAACTCCACTACTTATTGCAAATAAATTCTTAACTAAATGAGAATTATATGTGAGAATGCAAATTAATGAATTTTTGAATTAATTAAGAAATTTGATGGAATTAAGTAAGAAATGAGATTAAATTTAACTTAACTCCTATAAAAATTCCTTTTATTACGAGTAGTCGGATTCATATTCGTACTGGTTTTATAATAGACAGTAATTTAAGTTAACTTTTAGTAAGTATAACAAATTATGCTGAATATTATAAAAATATTACAGCAAAATATTGATTTTCCCCCATATTTTTTAATACCATCAGCAATTTGCCTTTTTAAGTGAAGATGACTGACAGCCCAGACACTGCTTAATCAACCCTATTTGAATTTGAATTCCAACACATTTTAACCATTCCTGCATATAAATATCAATTAGTCTTATTACTAATATTTACATATATTTCTCTACAAGTCATCATTTATACTTTTAGCTTAATTAAGTATTTAACTCTTATCTCTGCTAAACCTCCACTTAAAATAATTTTTTTAAATGATGCCTGCCTTTTGCCATTTAGAGTCAGAGTATAAAAAAACCACAATTTTTTCATATAAAAAATAGATTTCATAAAATAAAACAAACAAATGTCATTTGTTTGAAAAAAAAAAATGGGTCAGACCCTGAGTAACATTAGTTGTGAACTGAAATTAAGACAAACATAGAGAAGCTGTCGCAACAAAATAATGGTAGAATAAAAATATAAAAAAAAATCCACACAACTTCAACAGCCAACAAATCATAATTTTCTGAGTTTTTTTTTTCTACTTTGGTACTTTTTGCTAACAATGAAATAATGAATGACTGTGACATGGTAGAAAGTCAAGCTCTTTAAAATATTTGTTATATAAGTTATAAAACAGTGGCAGCTATTATCAAAGGACATTAAATTGTGAAATAAAATTAAGTGAAAAGAAAAGAGGGAAATTGTTGTACCCTACACCACTTTAGTGGGGAGGGTATATTGGGTTTGTGCTGATGTTTGTAACGCACAATAATATTGGTCCTATACCCACCTTAAGGTATACCAATCGGCTTAGAATGTCCGTCTGCCTGTCTGTCTGTCCGTCCGTCCGTCCGTCCGTCTGTCTGTCTGTCTGTCTGTCTGTCTGTCTGTCTGTCTGTCTGTCTGTCCGTCCATCCATGTAATCCTTGTAATCAAACTACAGGTCGCAATTTTGAAGATAATTCAATGAAATCTGGAACATGATCATGATCTATTGTCACAGGGACGAAGCCTATTAAAAATGGTAACAATGATCCATCATTTCACCTAGCCCCCATACAACTGAACCCCCGAATAGGGCTTGTAAATTTTGAATTCAAATTACAGGTCGCAATTTTGAAGATAATGAAATTTGGCACATGATCTTCTATGGTACCGGAGACGAAGCCTATTGAAAATGGTTAACATCGGTCCATAATTTCACCTAGCCCCCATACAACTGAACCCGCCGAATTCATAATTATGTTTAATATACTCGTATCTCGACAAAAAGCTGCAAGACCAAGTTCTATACTAGCCTTGATGACCCTCAAAAATTTTTTAGTTATAGGGTCTCATTTGACCATAGCCCCTTTACGAAGTCCCCTTCAAAATTTGACTTAAATGTCCACAATTTTATTCAACAATAAATGGCTTAAGTATATCTGAGGCAAGGAACAATTCAACTTAAATGCTTTATTATGAAAACTAAATCACATTTTAATTTTGTAACAGGTGTAGGGTATTATATGGTCGGACTCGCCCGACTATAATTTCTTACTTGTTATATTTACATAAAAGTACTTTTTTTATAAAAGAGGTATCCATTAACAAGATCTCTCACTGTATGTTCTACTGAACTCTTGTGACACAGTAAGCTCAAACAACAACAACAATAGGGAAATTGTAATAAAAAATAATGGCAATAGTAATGATGATGGTGGCGACCATGATGATGATCATCATCATCATAATGACGGTTATGGTTAATGGGTAACCATCGAATGGGTAGCATGAGAACTAGGGTATTTTACTACAATTCTATTACGTTTTTTTCTCGGTCAACATTAAGCCATTGTTAGAAAGGAAATATTTAAGAATTTGTTAAGTGAACTGGAAAAAATTGTTTAGAAAAATGTTAAGAAAAAATAAATAATAAAAAAACAAACTAAAAAGCAAGAAAGTACTTAAAAGGTCATTAGAAATTAGAGTAAAGTACTGCCAAAGAATAATATATTTAAAGGAAATTACTAAAGTACAAGTATAACAAATATTTTTAAGATTTTCCTAAATACTTTTAAGTTTTTTTCTTTAGAAATTTGTTTTTGAAAGCAAGTGTAAGTGAGTGTTGCTGCAGAAAACGAGACAAAAAAAAGTATATAATGAAAACTTTAAAATGTTTAAAGTTTTTTTTTTTTTTTACTTTTTATTATATTATTTCTTTTCATTACTTTAAATGAGGTTAAATATATAAAAGTTTTGTTATATTTAATTTAAGTTGGGAAATGTTGCAAAAAGTTTAACAAAACAAAATACATATTATAATATGTCGTCGTCTAGTTTATGTAATTTGATGAGTAGGTTTGCGTAAGTTTTAAAGTTGTTAAATTTAAGTTTCGGTACATTTTTTTAATGTAGCTGCTCTATATTGTGGTTAAATTGTTCTCTAACAATAGTCATTAATCTTCATTTTCATTTTAAGTTAGTTGTTCTTTAGTCTATGTAAGTGTATAGTAGGGTGGTTGTACAAAAATATTTACATAAAGAAAATTCTTCAGTTTTATTATAGCAGAGAAAGTTTAGACCGAGAGAAGTTTAGACCAATTGCAAGGACATGTAAATTTAAGCGATATATATCGTTTACATTTCTTAATCCCTACTAACGCCACTCTACCCTAATATATGTACATATGTATGTATAGTTATGAGAAACTATTGAAGTCTTTTAAGTACCAACTACAGGTGTTGCAGCTACAGCTTTTGATCCATTAATATGATTTCTCTAAAGTTTATATCCTTATAACGATAAACAAAGGGGGGAGGTCACAAGGATATGTTGTTCATAGACCTACAAATACATATATGTTCTGGGTATTTATTATCTTCTAAGATGATCTAAACATGTCTGTCCGTCCATCCATCTGTCCGTCCATCCGTCCGTCTGCCCATCTGTCTGTCTGTCCGTCCGTCTGTCTTTTGAAAGCACGATAGGAAACAAACGGCAAGAGCTAAAAACTGCAATTTTGCACAAATGTGCTCTATTGATAGTATTTATTTGCAATTGAAAGCGGTAAATGTTTAAAGGGTCATAAATGTTTCAACGTTTGACAGCAAACGTTAGAGCCCAATCGAAAGGATATAAAATCAACTTTATCAATCAAATTCAGAAAAGCGTGAGAGGAACACATGCTACTGTAATATCGATATGAAGAGTGGAACTTATAAACGCTAACATTTTCTCGAAAGAGACTTAAGCTATAGTTATGTAGTCCTAAAGTGAGTCTCGGAAAAGGAATAGTACGAACATGATAGGTAGCAATGAGATAACATCATATATAATGTGCAATTTACATTACATGACTACTTTTGGCGAGTGAATCTCTTTTAAAGATGAATTATCGACCGAATACTTATAAATTTTAGTCCGCTTTAAATTTTCCAAATGGGTATTGTATCCGCTATAACCTCACACTCAAAGTGCTTAGATATAATTTCGACAAATTCTTGACAATGGCAGATAAATTGTTCCAATATACTATCCTTGTAAATTGTTCTTGTATCCGGTATAACATCGCTCTTAAAGTGCTTAGGCAAATGCTTAACAATGGCAGATAAAGTGTTCCAATATACTATCCTCACCACATGCTCTATATTCGTTAGATTCCGCTATTCCCAATTGGTGTAGATGTGAAAATATCCATTCTCAACAGGGAAACATTTTGGTGTTATTGCAATCCGAGGGAAAAGAGATACTATCAATACATCTTGTCTGCCGGGACAATAAACTGGTGATGATGAAATGCATACTCGTCCTTTCTTTGGAATGATTTGACATGGGGCCAAACCAGAGAACCACATAATCTGGTACCATGGATAGCGCACAGGGGAGAGTTTTGGAGTTTACTCCAAAACATATCAGAGTAGGTCCTTGTGAACACTGAAATAAGTCTGACTAAAATATAGATCTGTATTTCAAACCAACAATTTCATCCCTAGATGCTATTGCCGAAACAACAGAACCATCACATTAACGTAGTTGGGCGACTTTAAGAGGTCTGGATATGCATTGGTGTGAGTCTTTATATGATCAGAATGCTTGTGGGGATAAGGCATTCCTCTTTATATGATTGGAATGCTTTTGAGGATGCGGTATTCCTCATAGCATCAATAGGGTATTTTCACATGATGTTGGGTCCGCCCCTTCCATCGCCTCAAACCAGTGATGGCTTTTTCCTTTGTTAGGGTTTGATTGAGCTTGAGCCTGTCAACTATGGCAAGAGATTGGATATCTCGAGTACTTGAACAAAGTGCATGTACATGGACCAGCACAACCTCCTGAATGTAAGATACACAAAGGGGCGATGGTGAGTTGTCAAAGAAGCTCACACAATGGTTAAAAAAGTCCACCGTAAAATAAGGCTAAAACGACAGGTTTTCACGTAAAAACTTTGACATTTACCGCACAGAGGAGTGACTGTGGAAATAAACATTGGAAATGAGTTGGTGTCAAGTGTATATGAAACGGAATAGATGTAGGCCTATGTGGTCCTTACCCCATCCTTATACCTATAGTGAGTGTGTCTGGTGTTTTTCTCAATGAGTAAGACGGATGAATGAGAAGTTAGCTGATTTTAATGGGTATGATTGATTGATTGATTTTTCCCTCCTTGAACGGGTATGTTCTCTCTGTTCATTGCAGAGTAAAAACAAGTCCTCGGCATATTTGATGGATTCGAGTTTAGGTCTATAAGATCATTATTGTCAAAAAGCCAACGTGGTTGTTTGACTGTTAACTCTGTAGCTTTAACATCTATTTTAAAAATAATGCGGTTGTACACAAGAAGGTTTACATGAACTTTAGTTTGTTCAACTCTGAAAATGTTCATATGAATATATAAATTATTATAATTACAGTAAATGTTTACTTTAAATAAAGCTCATTTGCTTCAAAAGTGTCCCAACTGAAAAGATAAAACTTCCTGAAATACGGGCTTTCTCTCTATAAGAATATTTTGCAATACACACTCAGTTTCAAATAGCGAAATTTTCAGTTAAAACATTCTTTAAATAAATTGAGTGATATGTAAAAATTTACACATATTCCCTGTTGATTACACACTTCCACTACATACTCTTACCCAACATACATACTTAATGTAAATGAAAATTTAAAACACGTAAAATGTTGAAAACCCTCCAACAGCGAAAAAGGAAGAGTAACCATAAAACACACATTTTGAGTAGTTATTATGAAAATGTTGTTTTATATAAAAAAGAACAAAGTTGGCCGTAAGCTCTCGACGCTCTGACTCATTAAGAAATATGTAGTAAGAAAAAAACCAGGACGAACATAAAAAATCAGACATTTTAGCAGACAAAAACATTAATTCATAATTATGCTTGGCAACAGTGTTGCCAAACTGAGAGAACAATAAAGAAAAACTTTTTGAAACTACTTAAAATATTTAATTATTTAAATGCCAGTTATGCAGAATTTTTTTTTTTCGCATACACATACTTCTCATTTAAATTTTTACAAAAAGTATTTAAGCTTTTGAGTATTTAAAGTGTTGCTTAATTATAAATAATACTTACATGGCACCCACATATAAAGCATTATTATTTTCATCGAAATAAAATGTTTTATAGTGCAATGGACCACAGCTGAAATCTTTGACATGATCTGTAAATATAAATAAGAGAAAGTAAAATTTTAATATTTTTGACATTAATTATGAAGTATTATTTGCAACTATAATTTTTGTAAAATGTTAATAAATATTGTTTAAAAATATTTTCTAAAAGAAGCTTTTTCGACCAAAAAACTTTATAAACCAAAATTATTTTTTGACAAAAAACTCAAGCAACAAGTGTTTCACCAAAGAAATTTTATTTATAAACAAGTGTTTATTTCACTTTAGTCTTAAAAAACCAAATGAAGATTTTTCACATTTTTTCAAAATTATTTTAACCTTCAATTTTATCTCACATCATTCTTTTCTAAACTTTCAACAACACATTTCCATTTATATTTATTTTCTCTTTCAAGTCTTTAGATTAATTTTCTATTGACTTATTTTAAATTATCATTTAAATTGTTCTTTTCTATTCTACTACAACTTTTTGCCTTGACAAACACCATATTTGTGCTGTTATGTCAACACCTGCAGTTGACATAACTCAAGTGAAAAAAGAAAATTTTTTTATTTTCCCCCTTTTTACCATTTTTTAACACAATTCTAGCATAAATGAAAAAAGTTTAGGAAAAAATATAAGAGCAAAATCTACAAAAAAATAAACTGCAAAACCAATGTCAAATCTGTGCCAAAAGTTTTTCTTATTTTTGAAAAATTCTTTTACTCTTTAATTTAAGTTGATATAGTACTTTCGTTCAAATTTTATATATTTATGTTTGTTGTAAGTATTGGTTAATATTCTTCTTTATTTTTACTTTTGTGGAAGGGTATTGCTTTTTTTCCCACCTGTCCGTCTGTCCATCCATTTGCCTGTCAGTTTGTAAGTAAATAGTTGTGTTTTGTTCCATTTAGGATGTTGCATGAAAATGGACGCATGTCAATTTAATATTATTTTAACGTTATCTTTTTTTGGTTGTACATTTTTGCCAAGTTTTCTTTTCTAACACTTTTGCTGCTGTTATGTTATTGTCTCGAATGACAGCTGTTGGTTGTTTTTTTTTTTTTTCTTCTTAACACCTGAAGTTAAATTTTTTGTTTGTTAGAAATATTTTTTGTTAGATAGAAATCGATAAGTATTTGTAAATATTAAACTGCTCGTTTATACATTTTTTGTATGTGTTTGTAGTTATTTGGCACACATTTGCCGGTTTTTATGGGCAAATGTCATGATTTATATCAATATCAATCAAATGTATAGATTCTTGGCAATACGTTGTTTTGTTGGTAAAGTATGAGTAATAAGTAATATAAGGATTTCAAAATATTAATCATACGCCTATGACTGTCGACTTATTTACATGATGACCAAGAAGAAGACTTCAGTAACTACTAACTAACTAACTAACTAACTAACTAACTAACTAACTAACTAACTAACTAACTAACTAACTAACTAACTAACTAACTAACTAACTAACTAACTAACTAACTACTAACTAACTAACTAACTAACTAACTAACTAACTAACTACTAACTAACTAACTAACTAACTAACTAACTAACTAACTAACTAACTAACTAACTAACTAACTAACTAACTAACTAACTAACTAACTACTAACTAACTAACTAACTAACTAACTAACTAACAAACTAACTAACTAACTAACTAACTAACTAACTAACTAACTAACTAACTAACTAACTAACTAACTAACTAACTAACTAACTAACTAACTAACTAACTAACTAACTAACTAACTAACTAACTAACTAACTAACTAACTAACAAACTAACTAACTAACTAACTAACTAACTAACTAACTAACTAACTAACTAACTAACTAACTAACTAACTAACTAACTAACTAACTAACTAACTAACTAACTAACTAACTAACTAACTACTAACTACTAACTAACTAACTAACTACTAACTAACTAACTACTAACTAACTACTACTAACTAACTAACTAACTACTAACTACTAACTAACTAACTAACTAACTAACTAACTAACTAACTAACTAACTAACTAACTAACTAACTAACTAACTAACTAACTAACTACTAACTAACTAACTAACTAACTAACTAACTAACTAACTAACTAACTAACTACTAACTAACTAACTAACTAACTAACTAACTAACTAACTAACTAACTAACTAACTAACTAACTAACTAACTAACTAACTAACTAACTAACTAACTAACTAACTAACTAACTAACTAACTAACTAACTAACTAACTAACTAACTAACTAACTAACTAACTAACTAACTAACTAACTAACTAACTAACTAACTAACTACTAACTAACTAACTAACTAACTAACTACTAACTAACTACTAACTAACTAACTAACTAACTAACTAACTAACTAACTAACTAACTAACTAACTACTAACTAACTAACTACTAACTAACTAACTAACTAACTAACTAACTAACTAACTAACTAACTAACTACTAACTAACTAACTAACTAACTAACTAACTAACTAACTAACTAACTAACTAACTAACTAACTAACTACTAACTAACTAACTAACTAACTAACTAACTAACTAACTAACTAACTAACTAACTAACTAACTAACTAACTAACTAACTAACTAACTAACTAACTACTAACTAACTAACTAACTAACTAACTACTAACTAACTAACTAACTAACTAACTAACTAACTAACTAACTAACTAACTAACTACTAACTAACTAACTAACTACTAACTAACTAACTACTAACTAACTAACTAACTAACTAACTAACTAACTAACTAACTAACTAACTAACTAACTAACTAACTAACTAACTAACTAACTAACTAACTAACTAACTAACTAACTACTAACTAACTAACTAACTAACTAACTAACTAACTAACTAACTAACTAACTAACTAACTACTAACTAACTAACTAACTAACTACAACTAACTAACTAACTAACTAACTAACTAACTAACTAACTAACTAACTACTAACTAACTAACTAACTACTAACTAACTACTAACTAACTAACTAACTAACTAACTAACTAACTAACTAACTAACTAACTAACTAACTAACTAACTAACTAACTAACTAACTACTAACTAACTACTAACTAACTACTAACTAACTAACTACTAACTACTAACTAACTAACTACTAACTAACTACTAACTACTAACTAACTAACTACTAACTACTAACTAACTAACTAAAACTACTAACTAACTAACTAACTAACTAACTAACTAACTAACTAACTAACTAACTAACTACTAACTAACTAACTACTAACTAACTAACTAACAACTACTAACTAACTAACTAACTAACTAACTAACTAACTAACTAACTAACTAACTAACTAACTAACTAACTAACTAACTAACTAACTAACTAACTAACTAACTAACTAACTACTAACTAACTAACTAACTAACTAACTAACTAACTAACTAACTAACACTAACTAACTAACTAACTAACTAACTAACTAACTAACTAACTAACTAACTAACTAACTAACTACTAACTAACAAACTAACTAACTAACTAACTAATCAACTAACTAACCAAACAACTAACTAACTTACACACCTTGTGTAAATTTAAAATATGTACCAGCGTTTTTCACGTAATTTCGCAGAATTTTCAATCCCGAATTCCCGAGAATTTATGCTAAAAATCAGGGAATTATTTTCCTTAATTTTATGTCATATTTTTGACAAAAACATTTTTCAATAAATATAATGTCTTGAGTAAAGGTTAAATTTAGAGAAGTTATGCTTAATTTGAGGAGTAAGCCGTTTTGTTAACTAGATTTAGGTAAGTGAAATAATGGATCAATATCATCCATTTTTCAATAGGGTTCGTCCTTGGCGTAAAAGAGGAGTATTTGCAAAATACTACTCATCGCTTGTCAAGTTATTATATAACATTTATTGCCTTTTTGTGTGTGTCCAATTAAAATTAGGGTAAGAATAATACGAAATTGTATCTTAATGGCGGCTATATTCTTAAAATTTTATAAGTTGTTCTATACGGGAATTCAAAAATGAATCCCGTTTTTGCGGGAAAAAAAAAGCTATGATATACTCATAGCTTATATAGGGTGCATGTGACTTGAATGTTGAACCTATTTTCTTTGGATGTTACTGCGTGTATAAAGGTAAATAAAATTTTATTTAAATTTTTCATCTGAACTTTCTTTGCTTTGCTTATTTGCTGAAAACGTAATAATATTTTGTTCAATTTTGACAATACTTTCAAAGAAATGTTATATTAAAGAAATATATAAATTTATGCATACTTAAGTATTTTATGCCCCCTAGACGTATGCAATATAAATAAATATACCACATTACTCATACGTAAGCAGTGTCTGAGTAAGTGTATAAAATATGTATAAATGTTTATTCATAATATTCAACTTTTATATTCAATTTCTTTTATATTTTTCAATTTGTTTTTCCATAATACCATTTTCCATACACTTGCGCCAAACCAGTAAGTAACTTTACTTTGTAACATTTAAACATAGAATGGAAACCAAAATGTAAAAAAAAATATTAAAATGTTAACCAACTTTTTCACAAATGATTTTTTGATTATAAGACGTTGTTTGACACTGCTGCAGTGCAATGAAAAGAACATAACAAGTAAATACAACTCTATATATAACTACATACTATATGATGCATTTCAATGACTATTTTATGAGATCATCAGAAGAAAAGCAACAAAAAAAACTTAAAAGATGAAGAAAAACCTCTAAAGCAAAAAATAAAAAAAATCTTTAGAAATATTAAGAAATACTCAGTAAAGGAAGCATTATAAAGTCTAGACACCTACGTCATGCAATTTCAGCACGTTTAGAAAAAAAAATTACTCTGGCAAATGTGTGGAAAGAAAAAATGTGTTCTAAAACCTTTGAACCGACTTAAGACAGTGTTTTTTCTTGTCATACTTATTTTTTTTCATTTATGGGAATTTAAAATTTTTTTTCTTTAGAATTTTCTTTTTAGTCTTTTGAGGAACCCCTTAAGGAACATCAAGCTTTTTTCTTTGGTTTTTGCTCTATATGTGCTGTAAACAGTAAGCATCGAGATCTTTTTTTAAGAAAATATTTTAACAAATTTTTTATGAGTCTTTCTGTATATGTAAATGTTTTTTTTTTTCTTTTTTTTGCTTACTTTATATCTTCCCTATATATTTCTGCAGTACTTGGCAAGTTTAATATGCTAAAAAGCTGTTACTACAAAAAGTGTTACATACTACTACTTCCTTTTTATTTCCTTGAAGGATGTTTTCTTTGTAGCTTCATTTAAGGCAACTTTCACTGCATCTGTTTTTTTTTTTTTTGGGAAATTTTCCTATGTGTAATATGTAATGTATACCTTACAAATATCATCATCAGTTAAGGTTTCTTTGAAGAGGTTTTCACGTTTATGATTACGTTTCTTTTTTCTAAGGAAGGGAAAGAAAAAATAAACTTCTATATTTCCTGTTAAAGGAAATTTAAAACATGTATTGCTATAGCATACATTTGGGAGTAGTTGTTTTTATTGCCTGATGATGAAAGATGCATATTTTTTTGGGAATTTGTGTGTGTTTCTTCGTGAGTTTATAAATAGCATGAAATTAGAAAGGATATTGAACTTGTTCGGATACAACCAGATATAGTTGTAAGCAGTTCAAAATTCATTTGGCTATATAATTATAATTGTAGTCAATTCAATAATACAGTCTATGGTGTATAATATTAATATGCTAGCTAGCCAATCATCTAGTCTATCTTACAAACTATAGCCTAGTCAATAATCCAGACTATAGACTACTCTAATGTCCAGACTACAGTCTATATCTAAAGTCCAGACTAAGTCTAGTCTATAGTCTAGTTTATAGTCTAGTCTAGTCTAGTCTAAGTCTAAGTCTAGTCTATAGTCTAGTCTATAGTCTAGTCTATAGTCTAGTCTATAGTCTAGTCTATAGTCTAGTCTATAGTCTAGTCTATAGTCTAGTCTATAGTCTAGTCTATAGTCTATAGTCTAGTCTGTAGTCTAGTCTATAGTCTAGTCTATAGTCTAGTCTATAGTCTAGTCTATAGTCTAGTCTATAGTCTAGTCTATAGTCTAGTCTATAGTCTAGTCTATAGTCTAGTCTATAGTCTAGTCTATAGTCTAGTCTTATCTAGTCTATAGTCTAGTCTATAGTCTAGTCTATAGTCTAGTCTATAGTCTAGTCTATAGTCTAGTCTATAGTCTAGTCTATAGTCTAGTCTAAAGTCTAGTCTATAGTCTAGTCTATCAGTCTAGTCTATAGTCTAGTCTATAGTCTAGTCTATAGTCTAGTCTATAGTCTAGTCTATAGTCTAGTCTATAGTCTAGTCTATAGTCTAGTCTATAGTCTAGTCTATAGTCTAGTCTATAGTCTATAGTCTAGTCTATAGTCTAGTCTATAGTCTAGTCTATAGTCTAGTCTATAGTCAGTCTATAGTCTAGTCCTATAGTCTAGTCTAGTCTATAGTCTAGTCTATAGTCTAGTCTATAGTCTAGTCTATAGTCTATCTATAGTCTAGTCTATAGTCTAGTCTATAGTCTAGTCTATAGTCTAGTCTATAGTCTAGTCTATAGTCCTAGTCTATAGTCTAGTCTATAGTCTAGTCTATAGTCCTAGTCCTAAGAGGTCTAGTCTATATTCTAGTCTATAGTCTGAGTCTATAGTCCTAGTCTATAGTCTAGTCTATAGTCTAGTCTATAGTCTAGTCTATAGTCTAGTCTATAGTCTAAGTCTATAGTCTAGTCTATAGTCTAGTCTATAGTCTAGTCTATAGTCTAGTCTATAGTCTAGTCTATAGTCTTGTCTATAGTCTAGTCTATAGTCTAGTCTATAGTCTATTCTATATTCATAGTCTATAGTCTAGTCTATAGTCTAGTCTATAGTCTAGGCTATAGTCTAGTCTATAGTCTAGTCTATAGTCTAGTCTATATCTAGTCTATAGTCTAGTCTATAGTCTAGTCTATAGTCTAGTCTATAGTCTAGTCTATAGTCTAGTCTATAGTCTAGTCTATAGTCTAGTCTATAGTCTAGTCTATAGTCTAGTCTATAGTCTTGTCTATAGTCTAGTCTATAGTCTGTCTATAGTCTAGTCTATAGTCTAGTCTATAGTCTAGTCTATAGTCTAGTCTATAGTCTAGTCTATAGTCTAGTCTATAGTCTAGTCTATCTAGTCTATAGTCTAGTCTATAGTCTAGTCTATATAGTCTATAGTCTAGTCTATAGTCTAGTCTATAGTCTAGTCTATAGTCTAGTCTATAGTCTAGTCTATAGTCTAGTCTATAGTCTAGTCTATAGTCTAGTCTATAGTCTAGTCTATAGTCTAGTCTATAGTCTAGTCTATAGTCTAGTCTATAGTCTAGTCTATAGTCTAGTCTATAGTCTAGTGTATAGTCTAGTCTATAGTCTAGTCTATAGTCTAGTCTATAGTCTAGTCTATAGTCTAGTCTATAGTCTAGTCTATAGTCTAGTCTATAGTCTAGTCTATAGTCTAGTCTATAGTCTAGTCTATAGTCTATTCTATAGTCTATAGTCTATAGTCTAGTCTATAGTCTAGTCTATAGTCTAGTCTATAGTCTAGTCTATAGTCTAGTCTATAGTCTAGTCTATAGTCTAGTCTATAGTCTAGTCTATAGTCTAGTCTATAGTCTAGTCTATAGTCTAGTCTATAGTCTAGTCTATAGTCTAGTCTATAGTCTAGTCTATAGTCTAGTCTATAGTCTAGTCTCTAGTCTAGTCTATAGGCTAGTCTAGTCTATAGTCTAGTCTATAGTCTAGTCTATAGTCTAGTCTATAGTCTAGTCTATAGTCTAGTCTATAGTCTAGTCTATAGTCTAGTCTATAGTCTAGTCTATAGTCTAGTCTATAGTCTAGTCTATAGTCTAGTCTATAGTCTAGTCTATAGTCTAGTCTATAGTCTAGTCTATGTCTAGTCTATAGTCTAGTCTATAGTCTAGTCTTTAGTCTAGTCTAGTCTAGTCTATAGTCTAGTCTATAGTCTAGTCTATAGTCTAGTCTATAGTCTAGTCTATAGTCTAGTCTATAGTCTAGTCTATAGTCTAGTCTATAGTCTAGTCTATAGTGTAGTCTATAGTCTAGTCTATAGTCTAGTCTATAGTCTAGTCTATAGTCTAGTCTATAGGCTAGTCTATAGTCTAGTCTATAGTCTAGTCTATAGTCTAGTCTATAGTCTAGTCTATAGTCTAGTCTATAGTCTAGTCTATAGTCTAGTCTATAGTCTAGTCTATAGTCTAGTCTATAGTCTAGTCTATAGTCTAGTCTATAGTCTAGTCTATAGTCTAGTCTATAGTCTAGTCTATAGTCTAGTCTATAGTCTAGTCTATAGTCTAGTCTATAGTCTAGTCTATAGTCTAGTCTATAGTCTAGTCTATAGTGTAGTCTATAGTCTAGTCTATAGTCTAGTCTATAGTCTAGTCTATAGTCTAGTCTATAGTCTAGTCTATAGTCTAGTCTATAGTCTAGTCTATAGTCTTTCTATAGTCTAGTCTATAGTCTAGTCTATAGTCTAGTCTATAGTCTAATCTATAGTCTAGTCTATAGTCTAGTCTATAGTCTAGTCTATAGTCTAGTCTATAGTCTAGTCTATAGTCTAGTCTATAGTCTAGTCTATAGTCTAGTCTATAGTCTAGTCTATGGTCTAGTTTATAGTCTAGTCTATAGTCTAGTTTATAGTCTAGTCTATAGTCTAGACTATAGGCTATTTTAAAGTCCAGACTATTGGCTAGTCTAAAGTCCATACTAAAGGCTAGTCTAAAGACCAAACTATAGTTTATTGTATAGTCCAGACTGTAGACCAGTATATTGTCTAGACTATATTCTAGTCTGTAGTGCAGACTATAGTCCATTCTAGACTATAAGTTTGGATTATAGTCTAGACTGGTATAGTCTAAACTATTTTCGAAAGTGTAGTCTAGTCTAGAATATAGAATATAGTCCAGATTATAGTCTAGACTATAGTCTAACTTTATTTTAGTCTACAGTTCAGACTATAGCTTTGTCTATAGTCCAGACAATAGTTTAATCTATAGTCCAGGTTATGGTCTATTCTATTGTTCAATCCATAGGTTTCTTCATTTGAACAAATTAATCAAGAAATATACATAACTCAAACTATAACAAGAATTTCGCCCAAAAATCAACATGATGTCCTTTACTAATTGTGCATTTTTTTTATTTCCTTATTTACTTCATTTTATTTTCACATTGTAATCACTTTGAATAATATTTTAAATAATAAATCATTTCATTATATGTATGACTTTTTTGTCTAAATAGCTGATATTTTATTATCTTGTCTAGACAACTAATAGTTTTTCACTGGAAATTGTTTATGTAAAACATATTTTTAGAAAAAAAAAAAAAAAAAACAAGATTGGAAATAGTTATACTGACCATAGATTTATGTAGATATTGTCAGTGTAACGTTCTTTTATTTTCGTTTTTTTTTTTCATTTTTTGCTGTTGGTTGTTCTTTCTAAACCAATGAGAATAGTTAAATTAAATTAAATACACATGGCTGCATACAATGATAAAAATCTAACAATTAAATACAATAGAAAATAAAAAAATTGCCAACAAAATTGTAGCATAAAAAATTGTAACTAAATGCACATACATACACTGAGATAGTAACTAACATCCTGGAGAACATTTTTGCTGTCAGACATAATATGATTACATTCGATCTTACTCTTCATAGAATATTCTGCTCGAAGTTTTCTTTGGAACTGCTATGAACTGACTCAAGATTGGTGTTGGATAATAATTGAAATTTCTTGAAAACCCCAAATGACTAATTCTTAACGTTTTCGATGGAAAATCACTACTTTTCCAGATCTCTGGCCAAAGTTGGTAAAAAAATGTTGTTTGGGATATTTTAAACATTTTATGAATGTATGTAAACACATCATATTAAATTTATAGACTAACACTCTCTAACACTCAATGGAGACTATCGCACACACACTCACTAATTCTCCCTTGAGAGCATTAGGCTAGTTCTTAAAACCGGCGATACTGCAACTTAATGAAAAGATCAGCATGTTTAGACAATTCTCTTTAACGAGTAACAGTAGCTGGCTCAAACAGTTGTGTTAACATAAATCATTTATTTATGATGACCCGACTTTTTTTTAAGAATGGAAAACAGTTTCATTCCCAAAATAAAATAAATATTCATGAATTTTATTTCAGTGCTATTCTAATGCCAACTAAACTCTCTATGTATAATAAATGTATTTCTGTATAAATATGTCAGCCACTAGTACCACAGAAAAAAAAAAACAAATACTACTATTTGCAACTGGCAGTTACATATGTGAAAATATGTAGTAAATATTTTATGTTTGTATGTAATTTTTATATAACTTTTCAAATGACATGCAGAAACATTCATCATTGTATTTGAATATGAATGTCCGCTACTGTTGTAGTAGTTGATGAATTTTGAATTGTTTTAAATAGTACAAATTTACTGTTGAATCAACGAAAATGTTTGTCAGATAAAAGAAT